GCCACAGTTGATAACCTTTCCTCAAAGCAAAGAGAAATTTAGAGATTATACAAGAATTAAGCAAATATAGAGAAAATGGAGTGGGGAGATGGGAGAACAATAAATTGAAGGCCTGTAATAGGCTGGAAAGCAGGAGAGTTTAAATTATAGAAGAGATGACGGTATGTAATAACTCAACAAGCCAGACTTGAAAAAAAACATCATTCATTGTTGAAAACCAAATTAGAGCCACTACTCATGGTATAAGAAGCTAGTCCCAGCCCAGGTCAGACAGTTCTGCAAATCCATCCCAGGGTCTGCTTTATCTTCTCTTCTTATTACCATATCCACAACTGAGCGACTTTCCCACCACCAAAATCATGGTGACTGTTTTATTTTTGCTTTTTGTTTTAGGGAAAGAGGGAAGTGGTTAAATCAAAATGGAGTTGGAGATGGAGATAAAGCACTGTATCCCTCGGCCTGCTTTATTTATTTTCAAATCAGCCTGTCCAGAGATGTTATTACCCTCTTCTGGAGCAGGTAGACTTCCATAGACCAGAGGTAGGAACACTACCACTGTGCTACAGCTTTATCTTTTTAATACACAGAAGTGCTATCAAACAAAACAGAGCACCACCAGAGCTCCACAGCTTTTTTTTCAAAAAGGAATTGCTAAACACTACTGGGTTTACTTTTAAAAAAAACCTATTTTCTTCTAATCAACTTGTTCAGGGATATTATTATACACCTCTGAAGCAGTTAGTACTTGAACCCTGGCCTCCCGGTCCAGCGGTAGGGACACTACCACTGTGCCACAAGAGGGCCCCATGAGTCTGTATTTTTAAAAATTATTTTTTCTTCTTCCACCAACAGTAAACACCTTTGTGGCTAATTGAATTATTTTTCTATTTTTCTCAACTCACCCATGGTTATATTTATTTCTTTTTCATTTTTAAAACTTTTTATAGTGAGAGTGAAAATGAAAAAACCGTTGTGAATAGAGTTGTTTACTATACATATTTTGTTTTTCTTCACCAACAAGAAAACACCCATGTGGCTAATTGAATATTTATAAGCAAAGCCTGTTAAGGGCAATTGTAACATCAAAAATTGAGGTGGGGCTGTGGGCATAGGGAGAGAGAGACACGATCAAATCAAAATGGAGTTGGAGGGTAATAAGTCTGCTTTATAAACAACGCAGGTGATGAGTTCCAGCTGGAAAGCCACCTGTTACCAAAAGAGCTCATTTTCAATGAGCTCCACAGGGTGATTCATTTGTGATTCTCCATGGCCCTTGGACATGTTATCACATGGTATAAAGCTATGCCTGAATCAGAACAGCAGAAAGGTTAACAACTGTTGTCTTAAAAAGTAGGCAGAGGGATCACAATCTGAAATTTTGACCTCAGAAATTTGAACACAAGAAGCTGTAAGGTGGTCAATCAAAAGACGAGATGTCGCTCTTCAAGTTGTTGCTGAGCGTCATTAGAATTGGAGTGGGAATGAAAATGATAGGCTAACAGAAGCTCAGGGTTATGCTTGCAGATTAAACTTGCAAAGCTGCTATTCAATCTATATTTAATTCCCCAATTTAAAGGAGACACATTGTGACTAATGAATATACTATATGAAACTGAATGAAGGACAAGCAAGTTCCTCCATTTCTTCTGGTTTCTGTTTCTATTACATTTTCTGAAGATGCCAGTTTCAACACCAATGCTTGCAATAGTCCATTCCAATTCCTCAACTGAAAATTCCTGTTATGCTAATTAACAGCAAACAAAGCCGTACAATTTTCTGCACTTCTTTTCTCCCCTCTCCTTCCCTTCCATCCCATAGCAACCTTGAACTTACCCTGTACCCCATTAGCCTCCAAACTCAGTAACGAACAAACCGATCTGCTCCTTCAGTGGCTGCACTCTGAATGGGCCATTTCCTATGCAATACCTATCTCATCGTCAACACATTCTCATGCTAGGGTAGGAGATGCAACATGGTCTTTTTTACATCTTCTTGTCCTACTGCTCCCCCTTTAGTATACAGCATTTTTTTTTGCTCACAATTCGGTCTCTTCTATATGTTGGAGATCAAATGCAAACTAAGTAATCGCTTTGCAGAATACTTCCACTCACTCCACGAGCATGATCCTAAGATTCTGGATTGCTCATCAGTTTAAGTCTCCACACCACTCCCACTCTGTACCTCAGCCTTCTACACTATTCCAACCTAACCTTATGGAACAGAATCTCATTTTTCAATTAGGCACTTCACAACGTTGTGTCCTCAACACCGAGTTCAATAATTTCAGGTCATAGCATCTGTCCATTAATTCGCATGGCAGCAATTAGCGATGACTCCATTTGTTTCCCCCATTTACATCTTTTCTAAACACGTTCCTTGTTTAATTAACAAAGACAGAAACTGAGGGATATATTCAGAAAAAAATTGACCTTTCCTCAACTTTGATCTCCACAGATGCTGCATGGCCTCTTGAGTATCTTCAGCAGGTTATATTTTCACCTCAGATTTCAAAACCTATAATATTTTACTTGTGTCTTGATTTCTCACATTGCTTTTATGATTCACACCCATCATTTTTCTTACTTAAACCATCCTGTATTCCACTCAATTGTAACCTTCCTTTAATGCTCTCTTGTCCTTCACTCTGGACCCACTTAAAACCAGACACATTTTTTTAGTTCTGATGGTTATTAACCTAAAACAATATTTCTCTGTCTACAAATGCTGTCTAATCCTTTGGGTACTTCCACTAAGTTGTGTTAGATTACATATAATGCCTTACTTTGAAATGTCATGTCATCTTCTATATTCAGTAACGTATACGCGCACACAGTTATCAGCTAAAACAGTCAGATGTTTACCCAGAATTGTGCACAGCAATAAAGAGAATCTGAGGGATAGTAATCAATAAAGTGACTCTTGCTGCACTGGGACTAATAGCGATTCTGTTGCTTGATAGTGATGTGACACGAGTGGCACCCTACTGTTCTAAATGCTCCAGCTCACTTTCATGCAAATACATGATAATCGCGTCAATAGAACTTTTCACCCTGAAAACATTAAACTCAAATTTGTCGCTTTTATTGTTCTGGGGGAGTTGGGAAATGGTATTCATGAATACATTAAGCCCACACTTGGAGACTGTTAAAAAATCTCTGCCAATGCTGTCAGATTGATTACTTTCAAGTTGTCTCTCAAATTGAGACCCAACAGGTATCAAAACAAAAGGATTCAATGGTCATAGTATCCATCAGATTCCTGACTTTGAATATTTCACATGTAAATCCCAGTAATATTTTTGAAATTTTTGACAAAGTACTTGCTTGCTGGGGCAGTTCCATTCATCACTGTGGGAGACAGTAATTTGTCACAGTTAAGAGCTGAATGTAAGTTTATGCAAAGCCAGGAAGCTCTCTAATGTCAGGGCACAAAACCATACACAGTAGGCTGAATAATGTCTACCGCCTTTCCCTATCAACCTGAGTGGAGCTCCTAGGGATGCAGATATACATGACAGAAAAGCTGAGGCAAGATAGAGGGAGGCAGAGGCCCTAAAAGATTGGTCAATGAGAGACAAGATAATAAAAGGCATTTCAACACTTGTAATACTCACCAATAAAACATTTTCTTGAAACATAAAGACTTGGTTTGGGATGAGGAATGGGGGAGAAAAATGGCAGGGCCTGGATTAATGTATGGTATAGAGGTAAAAAAAACTTTAAGAGTGTAGGAATACAAGTTCTGAGAACTGCTATGTAGTTTCACCATTTAACTGATATAGGAAACATTTTTAATTCAACGCTTTCTCTTTTGATCGCTCTTTTGTTAAAAGATTTCCTATTTCTTGTCACTTTGCTGCACGTGTTCACGCATGCATGTTTCTGTGCATGTGCGCGCGTGTGCATATGTGCGCGTGCTTTTCTGCGCATCTGTGTGTCTGCACATTGGTCCACAATTTCCCCAAAGCACACAGCCATAGCAATTTCCATTGATTTCCACAGACAGGTTTTCTGCATAAGGCAGACTGGTTCCTCATTCATGTACCAAAGTTGCAGCTCTTTTAGCGCTCCTATTAGGTCAGGGGAAGGTGAAGTACTCTTCACAGGGCCCCTCAACCTCACCTCAGTACCCCAATTGCTGACATCTGCCCACCCCCATCCCCACAATCTCCCAATCATGGTCTTAAAGTGGACCCTGAATGTTTGAGCCCCTCAAAGCATCAAGTGCAGGAAATGTTAACTCTCAGGACCCATTTGCAACACCTTGACCAAGATTCTCTTGACAAGTGGGAGGCAAGTGTCGTGGGCACCAAGGAAGATTGCAACCACAGGAAGAGTACAGGGACCAAGTGTAAGAAAATTGATAAGCACATGATTGGATATGCAGGAGGAGCCGGGTGCAGGGGTGCGTGGAAATGTTAAAGTTCCAAGATAAGCCAAGAGGAGAACTTCTTCAAAACTCAACGTATTAGGCCTCTTGTTATCAGAGTCCTGACTGATGCCTGCTGGTTTAATACTTGGTCAAGCCCATGACTAACTTAGTGTAAATGTTATCATGATTATAATTGGAACACCGCTCTGTTGCTGAAATTACTTTTCCACTCCTCTAAGTTCAGTGACGTCTTGACTGAACTCAGGCAACTTAAAATGGTAGGGGATAGAAAGCATCAGGAATACAACGTGAGTTCCTACCATCTCAACCCAACTCTTGCATCTTAACTGGGTAAGCTAAGTTAAAATTGGCTCAAGTATGTGTCAAACTACAGTCTGCCTATTCACAAGAGCTTTTCATCATTCACATGTTAGACAGACAGCTCCTCTTGTAAGCTCCTGTGTAATTGAAGTTATGCTAAAAATATCATGGCATGGATATTAACGATTGGACCATTGTTTGCTAAACCCTTCCACTCAATGGATTTAGTTTGGTGCGAATTTTTAAATGTAACTGGAAGAAAGTGCTCTGTTTTAAAAAAGAAAATATAAACCATGGTTAGTACTTACAATATACATGTCCATCTCCTCGCGATCCAGGGAACGGGTGACAATGATTTCTCCAGATTGGTCATTGATTTTGAAAACACCTTTTGGTTCCTCGTCCACGCCCTTACCATGAAGTTGAAATTTTATGCCGTCTTGCCTGTCAGTTATTACCTGAAAAATAATATCATACAAGGCCAGAAAATTAACAAATTCTGCATTAGAAATCGAAAAGCAACAAAATACTGATGCTCCCAGTATATAACACAATGCATAGTTTGAGCTAATATAACATCTCAACTTTCTATTTATTCATTTTTTTCTACTGCAGACATATTTGAAGATTCTTTCTACCTCAGTATCTCTCAGTTTTCAGGATGTGTTTGAAAGCAGGAGAGTTTCCAGGATGGAATCCTGCCAGGATCTAAGAAAGCCCATGAGATTTCTTGGCGGCTGACAGAATGAGGTCCCCAGAGCAGGAAATCACTCTTGCCATGGAGTACAGCATTTCCAAAGCTCAACAGCACCATAGTAGGAGGTCATCACTGCTGTTCTCAGCTTCTGTCATTCTTCCTCAGGTCTAATCCTTCAGTCATTCACAAATTAATGCAGATGTAAGGACAGACCTGACCCCCAAAGCTGACTGCCTGCTCACACTGGCTGGCCAACGCTCTCTTGCCCTCCCTGGAGCTGAACAAATTGTAGCCCAGGTACCACAAGGCCCTTAAATGACTATTTAAAGTCACGGAGGGGGGTATCATGGGGGCTCAGCGGTCAGCACTGCTCTCTCACAGCCCAGGGTCCCAGGTTCGATCCAAGCTTTGGCCGACTGCCTGTGTGCAGTTTGCACATTTCTCCCCGTGTCTACGTGGTTTCCACAGGGGGCTCGGTCTCCTCCCACAGTTCAAAGATGTGGTTAGGTGGATTGGCCATGTTAAATTGCAAATAATGTCCAGGTATGTGCAGGCTAAGTGGGTTAGCCATGGTAAATGCGTGATTGCAGGGATAGGGTGGTGTCTGGATCTGGGTGGGGGTGCTTTTCAGAGAGTCAGTGGGGATTTCATGGGACGAATGGCCTCTCGTGGCACTACTGGGATTCTATTAAAAAAGAACTTAACTTCCAGGAGATGGAAGAAGGAGAGTCAAAACAGTGTGGAGCTGGAGGAACACAGCAGATCAGGCAGCCTCACAGGAGCAGGAAAATCGACGTTTCCGAAGAAGGGTGTATACCTGTACAGTTCCAGACTGTATTGACTGTGACTCCAGCATCTGCAGTTCTTGCCATCTCCGATGGAAGAAGAGACATGAGCCTTCCTATCCAGAATTAACCCCAACGTCAACCCACCAACTTTCCAGCTGCTTTCCAGCAGAGGCAGATTCTGTCCATTGTATCAGAGATTGAACTTCAAACTTTCTGAGGCTAAGAAGGGCTGTATTAGTGGCAGTTCTCCTAAAGGGGACTAAACTTGGTGTAGAATTCAAATCCATTCAACTGTTTTTGTCAGAGACAGAAGAACTGCAGATGCTGGAATCCAAGGTAAACAAACATGAAGCTGGACGAACACAGCAAGCCAGCAGCATCTGGAGGAAAGGAGAAGTCAATGTTTTGGGTATTACCTTCTTCAGGGATCTTTTTGTCAGTTGGATTCCATACCATGACTCATCACACAAAAGCATAATGCTTAGTATGCTGTCTTTGTATCTTTTATCTGCATTTACATCATTAACGTGGCTTTTGGCTTCAAGCACTGCTGGATCTTTGAGGGTGGGCAAGTTCTGAAATTCAATCCAATCAATCTCAGAGCAAACTGACTATGCTGGGCAATGGACATCAGCAAAATGTTTAAAAGCATTACTGGAGAAGTTTCAGAACTCGGTACGACACTGATGTTCCATCCATTCCCTAGGGTATTAATAGTAAGCTAACTCCAGTAGATCCGATAAGTTCAAGATGGTTATACAGGTATGCGTAATGTTCTTTCTCTCCAGCATAAATTTGGAAATGTGAAAAGTAGCATTTCTATCACTAAAGTAGAATATCAATGGATTAGTGAGACCCTTAATTGTTCCACATGATGATAAATCACTCCTAAAAGGCAGAAGTCAATCTAAATTGTTTTCTTTCCCATAATAGCATTCTGATTGCCTACGCACAGTGATTAATATCCATTGACCTTACTTTTGTTTATTGTGACAGAATAATTATTATAAGTGTGCTCAGTGAACAATTTTTGTCAGGTTAAATGGTGTTCCTTCTCACATCCAGGATTTCAAGGATTTATTAAGATATATACTTGTACTAATTTAGAAGGGATTTAAAATATAGTGAAGTATTGGCCACTTATTTTAATACTAAACTTCCACGAAGTGTTCGACAGAATATCTCTACTCAGCATTGATTCTGAAGAGATCAATCTTACAAAATGAGTTATTCAATAGCTCATTTATTATGCACTACTAATGATCATTTCAAGTTGCATTCATTCTGCATTGCTAAAAAATGCAGTTGGCATCCTTCTCAGACCTAGAAATGCAATGTGACTGACAGTAATGAGAATCCCTTTGTAAACCTAAAACCTTTAGTCATTTTTGGATTGTAATGAAGAACTGCACTGTACAAAACATCAGAGTATTTTCCATAAAGGTATTTGCTAGGCATAAAATCGAGATAAAAGCCTTCCTTCAAACTTACATGAACATTGCAAAACTGTTCAAAGCATTTTGCTGGGAATAGAATGTTAGTGTGCATGTTTCTGAATAATAAGATACTCTTTCAGCAGCATATGCTACCAGAGACCTCAAATCCAAAGTGTGTAATCACTTAGCTTGCAAGCAACGGCCAAAATAATAACCAGCTAGCAGCTAATCAATTCCACAAGAATATCCAATCACTGATGCCAAGATTTAGATGCTGTTAAAGAAAACGGAACATATCATTTTGCTGTTTATTATACAGACAACCAGAAATCATGTATTTTATGATATAATTGCTATGACCGCTTGTTCAGATTCCTCAGTACAAATACAAACAAAAGTCGAACAGATAGGCAGGCAGACAGTTCTCTGATTTTAAAAGAATACAGGTGTGCAACAATGTCATGTCACCATGCATAAATTTCAATAAACCTTTTAACCAGAAGTTTAAAATGAAAACATTTGTCAATATGATTCCTGGGTTGAACTTGCATTGAAGGTAATTTTAGAAATCCAAATAAATTAAAAATTTTGTTTCACGATTCAAGACTCGCCTTTTGACTGGGTTATTTAGAAAACTAGGGTTGCACAACAAATGTTCATTGATGCAATTTGGACAGGTTACTATGGTTATGAATGGAAGCGAGAATTTCAGCCAATATTCAACCAAAACAATCAACTGATTCCAAAAAAACATATTATGCATTCTCTCCTGAGCAAGTTAAGTTGGACCTCTTAGTCCTTACTTCGCACAATTCAGCAAAACAAAACAAAAACCGGCAAGCATTCCTTCATCCTGTTTATAATATTATCGGATATATCGCAATGAATTCTTACGGGTCTTGACAGGGTAGATGTGGAGAGATTGTTTCCCCCTTGTGGGAGAATTTAAGACCAGAGGGTATAATCTCAGAGTAATGGGTTGTCCATTTACTGCAGAGACAAGGAAGAATTTTCTCTGAGGATAGTGAATCTGTGGAATTCTTTGCAGCAGAGAGCTGTAGAGGCTGGGTCATTAGGTATATCCAAGGCTGCGATAGATTTTTAATCAGTAAGGGAATCAAGGTTTATGTGGAATAGACAGGAAAGCGGAGTTGAGAATGATCAGATTAATCATGATCTGACGGAATAGCAGAGCAGACTCAATGGACCGAATGGTCTAATTCTGCAATGTCTTATGAATAATGCAGGAGAATTTCAAGCAGCACTATTTCATTCTCTACACTGCACACTAACTGCAGTGTGTATTCCTTTGCTCCAGATGAAACTCAACGAGTCAGCAACTTAGATTGCACTTCTGGCGGCATCTGTGAAGAAAAAGATCAGAGTTAACGTTTTGGGTCCAATGGCCCTTCCTCAAAACTCAGGGTTTGGACCCGAAACGTTAACTCTGACTCTTCTTCACAGATGCTGTCAGACCTGCTGAGGTTTTCCAGCAACTTCTGTTTTTGTTCCCGATTTACAGCATCCGCAGTTCTTTCGGTTTTTAAACTTAGATTGTGTGTTAGTTGAGCATCAAATATACAATAATGCTGACTGATTCCAAATAATCTATGAATGATGGATGGCAAATGGAGAATATTTGGGGAAAAACACTGTAAGGAGTCATTGGATTGTCTCTACATGGAGATGAATATTCCTGGCACATTTTGAGCTGAATTTTAAGAGGCCAACAGGAGTCACATACATCGTTTGGAGAACTAGTAGGGAATTCCTGTCAGTCCTGGGCAGGAGGCCTGACACAATCCAATGTGCTGGAGTGGCCATGATCAGACCTCCCCATCATTGAGAAATCCAGTGGCAGGAATCCTTCCCACCATGAGATTCCAGTTAATCACAGGCACTGCACCCACCTGAGGCCTGGGAGCACCATCTGAACAACAGCGAAAGCGAGGGCAGGATGGGACTCAAAGACACAGGGAAGTGGTTGACTTTCAGTGACCCACCCCCTTCCTGATGACAGGTCCTTCCATTGGGCACTGAGTGCCTGAATGACTGACCCATCTGCAGGGCTTGGAAACGTGACAAGAATTGCTGGGCACTTTTCCCAAAAGTATGAGAAACCTTCTCAATTGTGTCCAACTTTCGGTAGGATGGCAGCAGCGTAGGATGCTCCGGTCGGAGCTCCTCCCTCTCATCCCTTCTCTTGGCCTCACACATTCGGCCCCAGCCTCAGTCTCCCTGCCTCTGAAGTGGGGTCGGTGGAGACGTCAGTGCCCAGAGTGACATAGCACAGAGGGGAGGCTAGTGGCATGGTGCAGGAGCGGGGATAGCAGCCCAGTGCGGAGCATGATAGCAGCCAGCAGTCAGACCACATGGAGGGCCCCTGTGTTGGTCTGCTATGGACAGCCTTTTGGAGAGAGACTGATGTTTGTCTTTTTAACCTTTGCTTCTTGTTTTTCACACCTATGGTCATACTGTATAGAGCTGTAATTTAACTTTTTCCCTTCATTTCTCTATTCTGTAACTAAGGATTGTAC